CCAACTAATATTTATTTTAGTAAACCTCTAGTTTACTTGTGGCATATGATTCCAGCATCATGCTTATATTTGTGCAGTACAAATAGAGAGAAAATCGGGTAATCTTTCATATTTACCCGGTATGATTATAAAATATGAAGATATTCAATCTTCCTTTCATTTATAGTCTCAATATGCCAATCACTTTGACTTATACATTTGAAATTCAAAAAGTTTCTTTTGAGACTTTACAATATCAATGTCATGAATAATTTTATTCATCTGGATAGTAACAAATTAGTTTTTCCGGAGCTCTTAACAACTTTTGTACTATAAGATCTTTTATCATACCATTCATATGGTAAATGTCTCCTTCACTGAGAAAATTATATCATAATAAATTGTCATGGTCAAAATTATCATAAGCAAAATCATTTCTTGCTTTAATTTTGCCTTTAATAATTTTTATAAGGCATGCCAAAATATTTTGGCGTATCACATGTATGAGACCAATGACATATTCATGTAACCACACAATAATATTTATTCTCTTTATTTCACTCAAACCTTCCTCAAATGTGAGTTGTGTGGTATTCATCCAATCATGCCTTGCATGTCTTTATTCATTACTTTTATCACATATTACCACATTCACCTTTAGGAATGGGTGTGCATTCTCAATGCTTATCACAAGTCACATTCCCTTCAAGGAATGGATCATAATCAACAATGTGCTTCATACCAATTTGATGGTAAACATTGCCTTCACATTTTGAGGGACTATTTTTGAGAACCCGTGTTGTTCTTCTTTTATAATCATTGTGATGATTATTATTATTTGGAACGCTCACATTCATTGTTCAACCACTTGTCTTCATTTAGACTTATTATGCACTGCTACCATATTCACTTCAAGAATGAAGCTAATCAAGTGGGACAATCTTCATGCCTTTTCATGAAAAATATATTATTTTTCTTTAGTCATCATTATATCATCAATATGGTACAATGGGGCTCAAACCCAATATCTTGCCAATATAAAGTCATGTTAGGCCATAATAAATTGGGACTCAAACCCAATTCTTACATCAGGACTTGATCCCGATGTCTTACCCTCAATCAATGGTATAATAGACTAAACAATATTGAGATTCATTCTCAAGACTTAATTTCAATCACATGCCAATAAAGTTGTACACAACTAATTTGCAACTTAACAAATCAAATTTGTTTTCTTAAATAAGTGTAAAAATCTCAAATCAGCGTAAAGCTTTATCAATTATTTGTAGCATCTATATGAAATACAACCGTTTGTAGTCAGAATATTTCTTCTAAATTCTATTAGAGTTTAAATGGATCATAAAATCATTGTCATAATATTTATTGAGCCTCTCTCAAAAATATTATTGTTTTCGGGGTATACTCTACCTATTGGATTTAATTTAACGTCATGACTTTCCTTCACTCAATTCAACCAAGCAATTAGTGAATAAATTTATCAAAAGTACAACATATAAGGTAACAACACATATATAGTATAAATTCAGCATTTATATTACCTGAAAAGTGACATTATAGATAACAACTTACCAGTTGTAGTTTATGCATCATTCATATAAAATACTTGAAAATGGTAAGTCGGTAGCAAGCATCAGTAGATAATGGATACTCGAAAATACCTCTTCTAGTAGTCATACTAATCGCTGTTTGCTTCAAATGATACGACCATAAATTATGAAGTATACTTTCTCAGTAGCTGATTTGTTTTCCAAATTTCAAAGAAGTAATTAATCAACCTAGATAAAGATGTGAAGTATTTTTTGTTTTCTTCAAGATGATTTATGCTTCTAATCAGTATGACATTTTTTTTATTCTCCTTTTTTTTTTTTACTATATGTAAGTGCAAAAATCCAAAAGAAAAAAATATTCATCCAAGTAAAAGAAAATGTTAAAAGCGGTAGGACAGATTTAAGATAGTTAACACACAAATATACATAAGACAACATATATAACATATCATTGGTTACCATGACATGTCTTATATCAATAATTAACTGCTACTATGATTTTCACATAAAGAACTTCGAAAATTTTATTCCATTCATATGATATGAAAGATGTAATATTAATATGTGCTTATGCAATACAAATATAGTATGAAGTTGTGTGCATACGAGACATTAGAGGAATGACAAGTTTAAGATAATCATACCTTCTTATGTTTCATTACTTACCATATGTAGTTTCTCTTACTTTCAACCATGAAATGATATGTATGGCTTCTGATTGCAATCTTTCTGGATGTAGGACAATTTTGTAGATATATATAGAATTGGTTAGAGACTCGTGCTGATAACGTGTTATGGAATAAAAGCAATTTAGTAAAACATGAACAAGAAATAGAGATAGAGAGAAGGAAGAGATTTTCTTCTTCAATTGTGTGTATTTTCCTATCTATTACAAGGCCTTTATATAGACATAAAAAGTGAAGAAAATATGTCATGGAATATATCATTGAACATACAAAATATGTCATTGAATATGTCATTAAGCATTTGAGATGAAGATCATGGAAGAAGAGTAGACATCCACCATAATGTGATATTTATCATAACATTTAGAAATTAGTTGAAAAGTGTAGTAATTCTTTATGATATTAATTCATTCTATAGCTTCTAAATATGCTTCAAAACCATGGAGCCTCTATTGCTCTTTCGATTAACTATTCTTATGACCAGTTAATTGCTATTTTCGTTGTTCCTCACACAATTTCTGCCCCACTGGACAATACGATGGATAATTTTATTCTGTGTGATGGTTAGCCAAATGAATTATCAATTGATGGGTCAGTTCATTTCCTTTCTGGTAACCTTCTTTTATGAAGCATGGATACATGTATAACATGTTGTATATGGATATAAGAGCAAAATTTAATTAAATTTCACTTTCTTGATATGAATTTCTTTATAGAAGGACGAAGCACTTAGAGCAGATCAAAGTGAAATCAAGTTTTTGACAGCAACGAAAATCCTCAGAGTTAAGGCTCAACAATAATAACCTAGTGAAATCCCACAAGTTGGTTCTGGGGAGGGTAGTGAATACGCAAACCTTACCTCTACCCCGAGGGAGTAGAAAGGCTATTTCAGAAAAACCTCAACACAAGAAGACGAAAAAAGACAAATACATCAGTACCATCAACAACAAACATAGAAATAATAACAGTGACATAAGAACCAAAAAGTAGATGAAAAACAATAACAATAACAAGTAAATAATGCCCTATAATATGGAAAACAGAAGAATACTGTGAACATAATATTAACCACTACAAATCTAAGACGAACCCCTATTAGGCTAGCCTCACACCCGGTACGAAAGTAGAAATTGCTCAACTACCTCCAAACCTACAACCCTAATGCTCGACCTCAACACATTTATATCAAGGGTCATGTCCTTGAAAATCTGAAGTCACGCCATGTCCTGACTGATCACCTCTCCCCAATACTTCTTAGGCCACCCTCTACCTTTTTTCGTACCCGCCAAAGCCAACCACTTACACCTCCTTACCGGAGCATCTGAGCTTCTCCTCCACACCTGCCCGACCCATCTGAGTCTCGCTTCCCGCATCTTGTCATCCATAGGAGCCACACCCACCTTCTCCCAAATAACTTTATTCCTAATCTTATCCATCTTAGTGTACCCACACATTTACCTCAACATCCTCATTTCTGCTACTTTTATCTTCTGGATATCTGAGTTCTTAACTGGCCAACACTTTGCCTCCTACAACATGGCTAGTTTAACGACCGCTCTATAAAACTTACCTTTGAGCAATAGTGGCACTTTATTGTCACACATGACTCCAGATGCTAACCTCAATTTCATTCACCCCGCCCCTATACGGTGTGTGACATCCTCGTCAATCTCCCTATCCCCCTGGATAATCGACCCTAGGTACTTGAAACTGCCTCTCTTGGGGATGACCTGTGATTCAAGTCTCACGTCCACGCCTGCTTTCCTTGACTCGATGCTAAACTTGCACTCCAAGTATTCTGTCTTAGTCCTGCTTACCTTGAAACCCTTAGACTCAAGGACCTGTCTCCAAATCTCTAGCTTCTCGTTAATGCCGCCTCGTGTCTCATCAATCAGAACTATGTCGTCAGCGAATAACATACACCATGACACCTCCCTTTGAATATTGTGCCTCAGTGCTTTTATCACCATGGAAAATAAGAACATGTTGAGCGCTGATCCTTGGTGTAGCCCCATAACAAGTGGAAAATGCTTAGAGTCTCCTCCCACTGTCCTAACCCAAATCTTAGCTCCATCATACATGTCCTTAATCGCTCTAATGTAAGCGACCGACACACCGTTTTCCTCTAGGCATCTCCAAAGAACATCCCTAGGCACCTTGCCATACGCTTTCTCTAGGTCAATAAACACCATGTGTATATCCTTCTTCCTATCCCTGTACTGTTCCACCAACCTACTAATAAGGTGGATAGCTTCCGTAGTCGACCGAGCCGACATGAACCCAGACTAGTTATCTGATATAGACACTATCCTCCTCACCCTTACTTCTACCACCCTCTCCCAAACTTTCATGGTATGACTTAGAAACTTGATACTACTATAGTTGTTACAACTCTGGATATCACCTTTGTTCTTGTACAACGGTACCACCGTACTCCACATCCACTCGTCCGGCATCCTCTGCGTTCTGAAAATCACATTAAACAGCCTAGTCAACCGCTCCTAGCCTGCTATATCCACACTCCTTAAAAATTCTACCAGAATTTTATCTGGCCCGATTGCTCTGCCCCTACTCATCTTTCTCATAGCTCCCACGACCTCCTCAACCTTAATGCGTCTACAATACCAAAAATCTCAGTGACTCTCATACCTAGCAAATATCCCTGTCCCCATATTCATTTAGAAGTTTATGAAAGTAAGTCTGCCACCTCCGCTTATTCTATGCCTCTCCTATCAATACTCTACCGTCCTCATCTCTGATGCACCTCACTTGGTCCAGATCCTGAGCCTTCCTCTCTCTCACCTTGGCTAGCTGGAACAACTTCTTATCCCGCCTTTGTCACCCAATTTCTTGTACATATGACCAAATGCTACATTCTTAGCCTCTATGACTGGCAATTTCGCCTCCTTCCTAGATATCTTATACCTCTCACTATTCGCTCTCCTCTCCTCCTCGTTTGAGCTCCCTACTAACTTCAGGTATGTCGCCTTCTTCGCTTCCACTTTATTTGGTCCACTTCATTCCACCACCAATCACCTTTGTGCCTGCCAGAGTAAGCCTTCGAGACCCCTAATATCTCTCTCCTGCCTCTCTTATACAGTTCATCATCGTCGTCCACATTGCGCTTGCGTCCCCACCACTCCTCCAGGATCCCATAGCCGATAACCTCCCCCCCAACTTCTGAGTTTTATCCTTAGTTAAGGCTCCCCACCTGATCCTCAGTCAACCTCGAACATACCTCTTCTTCCTCTTTATCATGGTACCGACGTCCATCTCCAAGAGCCTATGTTGCGTCGCCAGGGTCTCCCCCAGGATAACATTGCAATCCTTACACAACCCTCTTCACACCTCCTGAGGAGGAGGTAGTCAATTTGAGTTTTTGCCATCGTATTTTGAGACGTAATCAAATTCTCCTCCCTCTTCGGAAAACTAGAGTTCGCAATCACCAGCTCAAATGCTTTTGCAAAATCCAACATCGAGGTTCCTCCTTCGTTTCTATCCCCAAAACCGAAGCCGCCGTGCCCCTCGCCATAACCACCATCAGTAGACCCAATATGACCATTGAAATTCCCTCCTATAAATAGCCTCTCAGTAGGTAGAATACTATACACTAACTCATCCAACCCATCCAAGAAGCATCTTTTAACCTCCTCATCCAGGCCCATTTGCGGCACATAGGTGCTAACGACATTTAGAGTGCACTCTCCAACCACTAACTTAATAGTCATTAATCTATCATTCACCTGCCTAACCTCTACCACAAACTCTTTAAGTTCCCGATCCACCAAAATACCCACTCCATTCTTACTCTTCATGACCCCAAAGTACCACAGCTTATACCCATCAGCATCCCTCGCCTTCGATCCAACCCACCTAGTATCCTGAACACAAGCTATATTGACCTTCTTCTTCTGGAGAATCTTCGCCAATTCTATAGACTTACCTATCAATGTTCCTATGTTCTAAAATCTAATTCTCAATCTAAAAGCTTACTTGCTCCCCTTACCCCCTTGCCTCCCGTCCCACCTCCTAAGCCTAAGAGGTATAGTAATTGTGTTAGTAATTATACCCTATAATTATACCCTTCTTTCTGTTGCATTCAGATATACAATGTAAAAGAGCAGAACCAAATAATACAAAAGGAATGAGAATAGTGCAGGTTTGCATAATATAGTATATCTGTGTTGCTACAAGAACCAATATTTTTCTTTTTTTTTTCTTTTTTACCAGTAGACTAAATCGAAAGCACTTTATTAGTGTGTGTTCATTTTTCCTTTATGCTAAACTCATAGAGAACATTCTTTTATACTTTTTCAGCTACTATTTTACCTATCTATGAATATTTTATGCAGAGAATAGAACGTAAGAATGACCGAAAGTAATTTACTAAACGTGAACTACATCTGCTTAGAAAATGCGAAATAAAAAATAGAGTTATGCCAGAGTTTATACAGTTTTTGGTTTCCTTACAACTTAAGTGGGTTCTGCCTTTGATTTTACAAAATAAGCTATTTCAAAATTTCTTGAACATCAACATAAGGCAATTTACTCTGATTTTAAGGGATTAACTAGGTTACAAGAAAATATTATACAGTCAGACCTCTCTATAACAACATCCCTATATTAACAGTTATTCACTATAAAAGCCAAGTTTTCTTCGGAACCGATTTTTTAAGTTATATTTTACCTTTCGATAACAACTTTTTACCTATAATAGAAACAATCATATTTATAACAAAATGCTCTTTGTAAAATTATCCCTTAACAACGATATAGAATCTTTAAGGTTAAAATTAATAATTGTAAAAATATGCATAAAATCCTTTCCATTGAACAAAGTTTCTATTTTGTATTAGATATAAGATTTCAAGATTTACATATGATATTTTTTTCATTGGACAAATGTCAACAAATATTTAGATAGAAGATGTTTTTGCTAAAACGACGAGATATATATTAAGCAGGAGATTTAAAAGCAGTTGTTACAGCAAGAAACCAATCTGAATGATGTAGTTCCTAACAAGCCTTTACGGTAATTAAGGAAAGCAAATAAAGGCATTGTGCCCCAAAAAGTATCTTCACGTTCAGCATATCCTTCCAGCTTTTGTGTACTTGCATAATGTGCTAGAACGTGTGCGACTGAGTTGGCTTCACGGTATATGTGCTTGACTGGTGGCTGGTCCATTGTTGCAAGGAGGAACCTGCAATCATTTAGTAAAGTTATGTGAGCATCATTAGTCATGTGGGGTTCTATGTTTTTTGACAATACCTGACAGTCATTTTCCCTAATCAGTGGCGTTAAGTTTTTTGTAAAAGCCAGCTCCAGTCCTTTCAAGAGGCATGTAAGTTCTGCTTGTAGTGGCGTACTGGCTACAACTTGGCTGGAGAATCCCGCTATCCAGTTACTCTGGGAATCTCTGATGATTCCTCCTGCTCCTCCATAGTTGGATATTTTCTTGTGTGCACAATCTATGTTGAGTTTATAGATGTTTTATCGTGGTGGCACCCACCATACTTAAATTCGTGTAAATTGCTTGGGAGTTGTTCTCTATTTGCTGAGGTATAGGTATTCAATGGCTTGGGCAACTGGTGTGATGGTGGTGATTATTGTGGATGTTTTTTTTGAATGGATTGTTATTGTGGTGGAGCCAGATATGGCATAGTGTAATGGATGCGATGATGGATAATGGGATATGTGTTGTTTGGTAGGGTTAGTGAATCAGGGGAGGTACATAGTTCTTTAATCCACATGCTGAAGTTTGATAGATTAAAGTCTATATGTAGGGTGTCCTAGATGGGGGTATTGCGTGGACAATGGAGAAAGATGTATTTTGTGTTGTTCACTATATTGTAGTGAGGGCAAAGGGGAGATGGAATTATTTTCCTATATAGAGCATGGATGCTGTAGGTAGGCGCTATAGGGTTAGTAGCCATATAAAGTGTTTTAGTTTGTTATGGCAGTTGGCTTTCCATACCCAAGAGTGTTCGAAGTCCCTTGATGATTGTGCATATATGTAATTCCTAACTAAAGAGTGGGCTGACTTTGTGGTGAAGTGTCACACCTCCTTTTTCCTATACCCAGGGAGGGTATAAAAGAGTTTTTTCAATTAAAGGACAATCGAAACGAGATTTATTATTAAAAGATTCAGAGTTACCACTTGGGAGATTTATGATGTCCCAAGTCACCGGTTGAATCCCGAATCGAGGAAAAGCTTGACTCTGTTTAACAGTCCGCGAACCAGAAATCCGAGTAAGGAATTCTGTTAACCCGGGAGAAGGTGTTAGGCATTCCCGAGTTCCGTGGTTCTAGCACGGTCGCTCAACTGTTATATTCGGCTTAATTATTTGATTTTATACAATTATGAACCTATGTGCAAATTTTAGTTTTAACCGCTTTTATTCATTTTTTAAAGAAAATTGCAACGTTATTAAAACACGTCTCGAACCATGTCACATAAATGCACCCATGGTTTTTGACATATTTTAACATCGTTGAGATTTGGAAAGTTTAGGAAAGTAGATTATTAAAATATGCGCCTAAAGCAACTACGCATTTGCACTTTGCGAGGGCCATGGAATTTGCTAAATGGCACGTCTCGAATTCTAAGGTTGAGTTAAATCTAATTAAAACGAGGGCCACACAATTGAGGTTTTATTCGGCGCGACACACCTCAATTCCATTTTAAAAGGATATTCAAACTAAAGCTTGGAGGGCCATAAACTATGAGTTATCTAATTATGGCTCACCTCAAATTATTGAAGGGAAATTGATCATATGAGCAAATAAAGAGACGGTTAATTTTAAGAAAAGGCCAAAAGTGAAGGTATAAAAATAAATAAAATGGGCTAGGCATGAAGCCCAACAGCCTGTCGTGGCTAGTAAGGCTGATCAGCTTTCCGTTCACATGGACTCATGGTCCAGAGCCCATAGGATGGTCCAAAAACGTTAAGGACTAAAGGTTGAACCAGTTCGAGTTCGAATCCCCATTCACACACAAACAGATCACTGAACTTTCCATTTTTGATAAAAAAACCAATTTTGATTCACAGTATTCCCAGCATTCAAGAACTCATGTAGAAATTAGGCAATGCCCAGCTAACATGTTACTGAAGTAATCGACCCGAAAATTCAGACATTTTGTCCATAAGTTACCTCGAGCATGCAATATACAAAACCAAATTCTGATTAAACTTAACAACTTTGCTGAATACTCAGGCCCAAATAAGAGATCCAGACTCGCATTCATATTCATGCTAAACACACACTGATAAACTAATTAATGAGATGTTGTGGAGACTAAATGAAACACACTCATCTTCTGAACCTTCATTTCCAAAACAAATAGTTCAACTTTATCCTAATCCTAATCTAACACATTCTCATGATGCTTACTCACATATTCAAACTATAAAAAAACCACTGAAATACTTAACTACATAGTCACATTGATAGCTTAACTTTAAACATACTCCTTTCATTAACACGAATACAAAAGCTGGCCTACATAACAAGACCTTTCATGCATATTTGATACCCTCACAGTGAACTACCAAGCCAATATTACTACAACAGTCCATATTCAGAACAAACAGAAAGGAGTATAAGAAAATTAAGCTAAGCTAAACAATTTCGAAGGTGCTAAAACATTGAATAACAACTACATTAGTATAAATCTCTATTCAAGTGAACCAATCTTCATATTCATCCATTTTCATACATTGGAAGGTGAGATGTGTACCTGAAATTGAAGAAACAAGTAAATAAAGAAGGATCAGCAGTTTGTATTTCAGCAGAGATTGACAGCAGCAACAAAACAACCCAGATTCAGTGATGGAACCATAGAATTAGTTCCAAATCCAATGGAACAGTAACTTCACAGTTCAAAACCCAGTAAAATGCAATTAAGCAAGATAACACCAACTTTAAACACATAGCCAAATCGATAAACACCAAGATCTGACCTCACTGACTAAACCTCAAACCATTTCAAAGTCCAGACAAAGGAAAAAGAAATGATTTAGAGAGTGAAAATTTTGAAGTGTAGAGCCAAGTCTCAATGGAACAGTAGCAGGTTTTCTTTTTCTGTATTTTTCTCCCTTAGGTCTCTTAGCTCTTGGATTTTTTTTTTCTTCAGCCTCAAGTAACTATGCCTTTATAGGCAAGTTACTAGGGCAACCAATATATGCTAAGTTTTGCATTTTAGACCGTTCCTAACTTTCCTTTTTGCTACTTAGCCCCTGATTTTTTGACTTGATAACCAAGTTAAAGTCTAAACTTCCCTAGAAGACCCCTACTAGAGGCTTCTAAATCAGTTACCCAAGATTTTCCTATCCTAAACTTCCTAAATTACCCCCAAGTTCCCTGAAATTACCCTCCTCTTACTTGGGTCAGGCTGGCTCAATGGCCTAGCTGGATTCCAAACTTGGGCCTGAACGAATGGTCCACTAATGCCCAGGTCTGCCTTACCCCAAACCCCAAGAAAGAAGTCTTAACCCACTACAGTGAAACAAACTCAAATCACACATTAATAAGAAAAACACACAAAAGTTTAACTAGTCGAATCCTAAAGTAGTGAGCCTGATTACACAGATTAAATAAAACCACCACTAAGTAAAAAAAAGAAACAGAAATCAAGAACCCGATTAAATTAATCTAACCCTCAAAAAATAACAAACAGATCAAACCAAAGAAAAACAAAAGACTAACTCTACTGAGTCAAATTCCACAACAGAAAGAGAAATGAACCGATATCAAAACTAATTAGGCTAAACTCGTGGTTAAGCTAATCATGCCAAAAAACAGAATAAACAAGGGAAATTAACACATAACAAAGCAACAAAGAGAGGGGGCGGAGAAGAGATGAAAGTGAATTTTAACTAAAAGGAAGAAGAAATGTAGGAAAAGGAAAAGAAATTGGAAATACCTAAAATCGGACAGGCAAGCCTTGAAATTATTCCTTGAGCCTCAGATTTTGAATGAAATGAGTCTTAATCATGTGTTTTCAGGTGAAAACACATGAATAAGATCAATTTCGGCCTCAATCTTCAATAACTCGCACGATTTGAGTTTTTGAGGAATTACGGTTCATCTTCGATTCAAGATTTAAGGTGTTCGGGGAGGATTTTGAGAGAACCATTTGTACATTAGGGGAGAGGGAGGGGAGACGAAGCTATAGTGTAAATTTGAAGGCCATCAGAGACTTGTCGCCGCCGTGGGGCGATTTTCGGAGGGCGGCGGACGACAGAGACGATGGGGAAAAATAGGGCAGCTAGGGGTTTGGGTCTCTAGGGTTTGGAGGTGAGAGACGAGGCTACTAGGGTTTGGAGGTGAGAGACGAGGCTAAGGGNGCTGGGATCATTTCTCAATTAAACGGGGTCGTTTTGGATGGGAGGGATCTGGACCGGTTCAGGGTAGTCTGGGCCGGGTTTTGGGGATTTATTGGACGAGTTTTGGGTGGGTTTGGCTGAATTTGATTTGGGCTTGACAATTTTAATTAACTTCGGCCCAAATATAAAATATGATCTCTCTTTTCTTTTCAAAATCTTTTCCTTTTTTTCCAAAATTAATTCTTTTTGTTGTTTTGCTCTTTTTTTTTTTTCAAAATAATAATAAAAATCTAAATTAATTCCTAGAACCTAATTGACCTAAATACACTAATTAAGGCTAAATGATAATTATCAAAATTAATTAACCAAACAATTAAAAGGAAAATTACTCCAAATTAAAATTTAGAATGAAAAATACAAATTAACCTATTTTTTGGTGATTTTCTTTTATTTAAAACAACTTAATTACTAAACAATTACAAAAATGCAAAATTAACTCCAAAATGCACATGCAACACCCTTTTTTTGTATTTTTCATTAATTAAACAAAAATAAAAATGCACAGACAAATGCAAACAATTAACAGAAAATGCCCCGAAAATTCATAAAGTTGCAAATAATGGAAAGAAATTATTTTGTTTTGAAACTATGGGAGTAATTCATATAGGGCAAAAATCACGTGCTCACATCTGCCCCTCTTTGCTCGGAAACACGCAGAGTTTTCGGGCAAAGATAAAGTGAGCGGATACGAGCGATTTTTGCCCGTTTGAATGCTCCGTGGGAAGCATTTTTGAAAGATTTGACCGCACCCTGCTTCCGAGGTTTCCGACATATCCTTGGCTAAAAAGGAATCAGGTCAGTGTAGTTCAGGAACATTTGGTAGCTGGGACTACCATGAAGCTATGATTTCACTGTTGCTGCTACTGCTGCTACTGCTTACTGAATCCTTTTAT